AACGCCAATGCCACGTTGCGGCAGAAAAGTGAGATGGATTTTGGCCTGGTTGACCACGACCACGATGACGACAAATAAAATTACGTGAAAATTCACACTCGTGAACTTTGCATTGCAATATCTCTACTCATGGGGCACGTAGGAAAAAAGTAAAAATAGTTTTATTATGCAAATCGTACCCAAGCTGTCGATTAAGCGCAGTCTCAAGTTCGTGGGATCAGCCATTGTTGAGATCCAAATATCTGAGGGCCTGTCAAGTCGTGTACTCGCGTAAACTTACACGGTCGGTCTCGCGCGCGTGGTACTAGCTTCGCTTACACTTGGCGCGAGACACTACCGTGTCTCGTGATATAGCGCAGGCCCAATCAATAGGATCGTCGCTGCCAATGGTGTGGCCCCATCCGACAATTCTTTGGGTCTATATTTTTTTTTCTATAGTAAATTGTATTAATGCCTACAAAAGGCGGATTTAGGCAGCAGGAGAAGAGATTAAAATTTCAAATTAAACAAGCATTTAACTTTAACCAAGATCCCTTCCCTTACTACGAGCAACTATCCAGTTTACTCAGTAAGCGCAATAATAAAACTGCATCAGCAACGCAACAAGTCCCTTCTCCATATTCTTACCCCATCCTCCAAAGGATCGAAGTAGAATTAAACTTTCCGCAATACAAAACAATCCTTAAAGGCGACCCACGTAGGTTCGCCTACAAAATCCGTCAACTATTTGGAGATGGATTCCCCATCGAACTTCCTAAAAATTTTCCTATCCTCCCTCCCCCCAACACCACATAAACTTCACACAATCGATCTCCGTCCCGGGTAAAGCGCTTAAATGCGTTGACCCAAAAGGGAGAACCTTAATAAAAACAAATTTAAAGGAACCTCAACTAAAACGTAACAGAGGCAAAACATGACTAAAAAAACGTTATTTTCTACATCCCTCACATTAACTTCTTCACTAACTCCAAAAGAAAATTTATCACCAAGAGGTTGTTTCGATAAAAATCGAGCACATATATTCAGCTGATGCTTAATAGCAAGGGTTAAGGGCAAATTTCTGCGTGAATTAGTAGCACGAGCTGCTTGTTTAAAAGGCATGTGTTTCGCTTCCCAACGAAGACAACATACGAACCATAGCGGACCAACATTACGCATGACCTGAGGATAATGTAGCATATAATGATGCTTAGGCTTTAGAGTCATGTGGGGGAAAGCACTTAGATACATTTCATGATGTTCTGATATCAAAGTAGCCAAGTATTTTAATGATCTAATATTAACATAAGGAGCTGTGGTAATATCCACGATTGTTTTAAGTTTTACATAAAGAAGCCAACAATCATCTTCTTTGGGAATTAAATCGCCAATCATTAGTCCAAAATATCTGACGAAACACAACATTTCAGTGGAAGAGAACCTTAATTTTACACTAAGCAAGTGCTCTTTATTTATACGTGGCACAGTATTACCCGATTCTGTCGGACCATAATCAAAATAAAATATTCGGCTATTCAAAGTTTCAAGGGACAAGTATTTTTTAACATAAACTAAATTATATATTATAAGAGCTAAATCATACGAACATACTCCTTCCAACAGTTCATGCATAATGTCAAAGCAAATGCTTAATATAAACGAAAAACTAGGAATCGTATCCCATACACATTGTTCTTTAATACCAGTCATTGCCAAGTTCTGTATGTTAACATCATCAGAGTAATTTTGTACTGTTCGTAATTTTTTATCATCGGAAACAGTTGTAGTGGTCATTTCATTTCTGTGTAGCTTACACATTCGACAAGGGTAATTTGCATTAAATCCTTCGGATAGCCCACAAATGGAATGTATACCTAAATTATCCCCAAGCAATAAACACAAGGTGAAATAAATGTGTTCTTTTTTTCCATTGTGGGTTACGATTAATCCATTTTTCTCTAGATCAATCAGATCTTGAATTACTGGTTGAAATAAGTTTTTATTTCCATGAATCTTAGCATCAGACAAAAACAAACATGCTAAAAAAATATTTTCAAGCTTCGACATGTACTCTTGCGGTAGACATGCTATAGTATAATATAGAGCTCCCAATTTATGATCACCCGCATGTGACCCTGTGATGTTATCCGGATCCATATCATAAAAAAAAAGAAAAAGTGGAATCACAGTTTTACCTTTAAAATGACTAGCTACTTTTTTTTCCACATTTCAGTCTGAACAACATTAGTCAATGGTTCATCCGTTTTGGTTAGACGTTCTAATTGTGACAAAATTGTCTGAAGACACCCTGGCAACTCAATAAAACGTTTTAAGACCTCCTTCATTGGGACATGTTGACCAACATCTAGTTCATGATTCATTATTGTTTTGTTACTCTTCGTTCTTGGTCGATAATAACTACCAATAATATAGCTAACAGGAGCCACATATTGGTCACTGTCTTTAAAAGCGTTTAGTCTTTGATGATCAGTTTGTAATCCATCAAAAATATTTTTACAGTCATCAAACATGAGACAAAGTTCCTGCAGATCTTCACTTCTGCAGTTAGAGTTTTGCAGTATATTAATAACTTTTTTTTTTAACAAGTTAATGTATCCACTAGTCAAAAGCTCTGATGCTGAATCTACAATCTCTTGAACATGAGTTCTATTTAGGGTGTTAGAAGCATAAAATTTCGAAACAAAAGCAAGAGAAGATGTCACCAAAGCTTTCTTGAAATCATAACTTGAAATATCAAGATTTTCTACAGTATTTGTCTCACATGGTTCAAAGTCCATTGGAAAAGTTGGAGAGTCACTTTCATTTGGATGTTCTACTATATTTCTTTCAAGAGTAGTCTCTAAAGACAATGTCATGTTATGTGAACTATCGACTGTTTTAGAGTAACATTTTACTAAATGTCGTTTAAAGGCTCGCAATAAAGAGCATTTTTTAATACAGTTAGAAACAGGGCATTTCACAGCACTATGCGCTTGAAGAGGATGAAATACTTTTATGTGTGTAATTAGACACAAAGGGGTCTTTGACACACTTTGACATATA